CCCCCCCCCCATATTAAAGAATCATTCTTAGATCCACAGAGTGCATGCAGATGTAACTGTATTCAAAGGAAATTAATTATTTGTTGATACAGTTCTTTAGAGATGACATGCTTATGATTTCATTAAAAGACAGAACCAAGGTTTTTTTGTTTGTTATTAGAAAGGTAATTCAAGCACACTGGCAACCTCAAGAGTGGCAATCTTAAAATTTTTTAAAGTGATTATAGGATGGATGATTATATCCTACAGGGTGGAAGTGCCCTTCCAAAACTTGATCTTTGATAATTGCAGGCTTCCAGAGATGGGTGAAACTTCCTTTGCTAAACAATCTTTCTAATACTTTGTTTCCTAAAAGTGATATTTTTCAGATTAAGCTTCCTTTACCATATTTAGTTGCACAAAAATCCCATCATTTTAGGCGAAAGCTTCTAATTTTGTTAAATGTAGATGTTGTGCTTTAAAACATCAATGTTATCTTTTCTTTAAAAAAAAAGCGGGGGGGGGGACAAAATCTTTTCCTCTGTCAAGCTATTTTTTCCTCTCTCTTCTCCTTAATCAGGATTATTGCCATGTGTGGAGACTATTACATTGGTGGGCGTCGTTTTGCTTCGCTCTCAGACCTTATTGGTTATTACAGCCATGTGTCTTGTTTGCTCAAGGGGGAAAAATTACTCTTTCCAGTAGCACCTCCAGAGGCAAGTAAAAAAATAAAGTGTTGTCTACTTACGTGTCATTGATCTTGTGCTCAATGTTCAGCTTTCTATAAAGGAAGCATTGTAGAAACATTTATTCTAGTTTTAGAGTTGTCTCAGTATAAGGAATATGTAATGGCATTCTTATGGATACAAAGTAATGATTAGAAATGCTTTTTAATGAAAGTATGTGATTAGAAAGCCAGATATGAGGTATTGCAGTTATCTCCAGATGTGTGATACTTAAATTGCAATAAGAAAATGTGCAATTCTTAAATATTTTTGTTTTCTGATATTTTATATATCAGAGATTTCAAAACATGAATTCTGGAAATAACTCAAGTGTCTGAAAGCTGGGCTTCTTTCAAGTGGTCATTCTTAGGACAATGTTAGTAGTTAAAAACAAAACAAAAAAGAACCCTACAAGTTATGTCCTGTTTCTGCCTAAACACAACCCCAAATGTGAATAGAGATATGAATGTTAAACTGTTAAATGTTAATCTGAATGTTAAACTTGTGTGAACTTCTCTAAATAAAGTATTCTTTCATGGGGGTTGTTTAATTTGTAATTTATTTTAAAGATGATAACATAGTTTATCTAGCATGCTACAAGGCTAGAAACAAAATGAGAGTTTTCTTAGCTAACTGTATGGATTATGTATTTTTAGCTCTTACAACTTTAAAATCTAAACATTTTAAACCAGCAAGGGGTATGAATGGCTACTACTAGACACTTGCTTCAAAATGCTGTGGCTTGGGGGAGAGGATTCCTACTGTAGAAAGGAGAAATTAACATCTTTGCTCTCTTATCTTAAATTGCAGCCTGTGGAGGACAGAAGGAGAGTTCGAGCAATTCTACCTTACACCAAAGTGCCAGAAACTGATGAAATAAGGTATGTTTTTAATAATGAGTAGAAGCAGCTGTGAAATTATTGAAGTATTTATAAATAGTAATGATTTCAGTATATATTCACTATGCAAATATTTTTCATATATTTTTCAATTTCATCTTAGATGTAACTCTTGGGAGGTTAAAACATATATATTTTTTTACTTTTCTGGAAGATGTAGCAACTGCACTTTTATTTTGGGTATACTGCTTGTAGTTTGAGAGCTTTGTATTTTATATAGCCTTGTATTTTTTTCTCAAAGAAGAGTTTGTGTACCAAGATATTCTGTGTGGTTTAAAAAAAAAAAATATTGGGAATATGTTTGGAATAAAAGGGTGAAGGCTTTTCCCCCTGGAGAAGTAACTAATAATGGATAAATTAAGTCAAACCAATCCAGACCACTTGAAAGAGAATATGAATTTTGACTGTCTGGTAAATTTAATAGTAGAAGAGAAAAGGCATGTGAGAAATCTCTCATGTTCTAGCACTGATTTTGTTGCCTGTGCTCAAAAATCTAGTGACTTTTTTCTGAAATTTTTCTCTGTCCTTAAAATAAAGCAAGAATCATTCTTCCTTCCCTTCTTCTCCCTTTCCCTCTTTTCACTAGATTCTGTATTGAACAAATGGTACTCTTAGATTTGTAACCTCCAGTAGTCTTTCTTTAATCACTTAAAAAGTGAATGAATTGCTAGGCTATGTGTCTCATTATTTTTTTTTAATCATCAAACTTTATATGTTAGTTGTACTTCTAACTTAAACTTCACTGTAATCTCCCTTCAGTTTCCTTAAAGGAGACATGTTTATTGTCCACAATGAGTTGGAAGATGGCTGGATATGGGTTACAAACCTACGGACAGATGAACAAGGTCTTATTGTAGAAGACCTGGTAGAAGAAGTGGTAAGTAATTCTATTTTCAAAGCTGTTACAGAAATGAGGTTTTGAATGAGGGTAGGGATGTGTTAAGAATAATGTTGAAATAAACAAAACCCAACAACATTTAGTTGCCTGATTTTCAGTTACATGCTTTTTTTGTGTGTGTTTTGCTTTGTGTGGGTAAGTGTGCTTCTTTTGGTTTTGTTTGTATTTTTTTTTTTAATTTATTTTTATTAATTGGAGCTACCAATTTTAAAGTAGTTTAACCTTCAAGCCTCATTCAGTATTGGAAAGAAGCAGTATCAAACACTTGTTCACATGTTGTCCAAATAAGTTCATGTAAATTCACAGTATCATTCACCTGTACTAGGCATACTTACCATAAACTCAACTGTCTTTATAATGGATTAGCAGGTTCATTATATTTGCCATGAATGGAGGGAGGACCAAAGTCTACTTTTAAAACTGTGGAGAGTTAATTACCCTGGCTTATATCAATTGTTTATGCTAAGTCAGGAAGCTAGCCAGGTGACCTAAAGGTAGTCTAATTACTGCAGGGAAGATGGTTTAATGGACTTCAAAAAAAAAAAAAAAAAGTTTTTTGTAAAGCTCAGCCGTTGTTTTGGAGTCCCTATGATTTTCATGCGCGACGTGTACATTTTGTTAATAGCAGAGTTGATTTAGCCTGTTTTGCTATATCTATATCAGGATGTGAATGGCTAAATTGTAATGCATTTCAGTGTGAGAGAATGTCCTGTAGGCTTTTACATCAGCAGTTGAAGTCAGCCTTAGAAAAGTTGAAATTAAAAAGTTGTTACCTGTAAAGAAGGATTTAAAGCATAAGAGAAACAAAAATCCTCCGAAATAACATTTTGGTTGAGTTTCCACTTAGTGAATAAAATGAAAACCCTTTTTGAGTTCAAAAATTTCACGAACTTATTAGCGTTTATTTCTGTAGAAGGTTTTAACCCGTAAAATTTATTTTCTAATCTCAGGTGTACTGTTGTCATGTACTTAATATGTAAATTTTCTCATTAGGGAAGAGAAGAAGATCCACATGAAGGCAAAATGTAAGGATTTTTGTTTTGTTGTTAAAAACAAGTTGCAAGATAACTGTAAACCAGCTTGCCTGACACTTTTTTTTTTTGTCTTAAGACTTTTCTATATTCACTTCTGACAGTACATAGATAACTAACACAAGACTTTCATGCCAGTTATGCCTAAAGTGAATGTGTTTTGCAGTGATGAAATCTTAGCACCTTCATGATCACTTCCACTCAAAAGGTACACAGTGGGAGTTGCTCTTTTTATGAAGTAGCCTGTAATAAGTGCTTGGAGCCTAGACACCCTTGATCCTCTGGTCCACAGATCTCCATGCTGCTCAGAGGATTGTAGAGGAGGCAGAGGGAAATTCCTTCAAATATTCCTGTAGCCAGAGGTTGCCTCTAAAGGCAGTATGGTGTGGTAGAGCAATTTTTGATGCACAAAGAGGCTTCTCTCACCTCCCTCTTAAAAACAGGAGTGAAGTGTATGCCATATTTCTGCTTTTTATTTAGAAGGCAGAATGAAGTCTTAAGACGTAGCATATGATATGCTGGAAATAAATAGCTGTATATTGCCAGGCTACTCTGTGTGGTCATAAGCATCACCCTGAGACTGGACAGAGACTGCTAAATTTTTTAGGACAGTGCCTTTGACACAGGACTCTGCAGAAGATGCAAGGTGTGAGATTAAAACAGCATTCACTAGTCTAACAAAACCAGGGTCCACTTCTTCACCTTCTAGCAAAGTTCAGTTTTAGTTATTCTGTACACTATTTAACTTTTGTACTCATCTCCTTGTTAGGGCTTTGCATTTCATGATTCAAATTGCCATATGAGATTGACCTCAAATAAGGCCTATCAAATTATCTATTGTTTAAACAATGTCTTATAATCTCTAAATATACTTAGGTTTGAACATCAAAATTAATTTATGTATCTGTTACTGTTTATTTTTCATGTCATTGTAAAACAGAATCACTGAGTAACACAGTGGTTAATTATGCAGTCTATATGTGTTAGGTGTCTATATGAAAAAGTTAATTCTTAGGTGCTAGAGCCTTCGATGTCACCACAACCAAAAAAAGAGCCGATAGTCTTGCTTTCTAATTTTTCTCTTCATCTTTAAGATGGTTCCATGGGAAGATCTCCAAACAAGAGGCTTACAATTTGCTGATGACAGGTACTTGTATTTCAGATGGAAATACTATGGTAGTGAAATGGCACAAAGTAATGCTATGAATATCAAACTGTGGCAAAAATTAGGTTCATGAATGAACATAAGAATTTCTAATTCTGAACTGACTTGTAGTTGCTACTGCAGAAAAATGCTAACCTGGAAAAGTCTTTTATGGCTATCAATATTGAGTATTTTTAGTCTCAAGTACAGTTAGTTTCATCATTTTAATTAGTTAAATATTATTTGACTTTATATATAATTTCCTACTTGTCTTCATCAAGATGCTGAGTAGAAAGAACTGAAAATATTGTTTCCTCCTTAAGGAGGAGAATGTATCTAAATGCCATGACCCTGGTCCTCCAGCCCTGCCCTTTGTCTCCTTCCCCATCCTCAGCATAAATGGAAAAATCAAGATTGTTAGTTTGTACCTTAAATACAAGGACAAAAATCTTTTATTTTTTGAAGATATTTTGACAGACACTTTTCTTTACAAAAGCAAGTTAAGAGATGGAAAAATTGTGGGCAGACTATCAGCTATAGCTGAACCATTTTGCATCAACTTAGGCAGTTTTGTAGCACTTCATCTCATCTGGGTAGAGAGGAGGGGGTTCAGTGTTTGAACTTACCTCCCAGACTTTGTTTTTGTCCTTTTAAGTGTGCAATTCATGCCGATTTATGTTGAAAGGGTTTCGTTAAGAGCTTTAAAAGGACATTGTGAAATAAGCAGTGGTGAGTAACAGTGTATTATGATGTCTTTTCAGTTGGCCAAGTATGCAGTTTTCTTGTGAGGCCTTCAGATAATACACCTGGTGATTATTCACTTTATTTTCGGACTAGTGAAAATATTCAGCGTTTTAAAATATGTCCAACATCAAACAATCAGTTTATGATGGGAGGCAGATATTATAATAGGTAAGTTTTAATGGTTAAAGGAATTGTGTAAAGAATTTATCTAACTTGTTCCTGTTAATTATTTGTTAGTGTGATTATAAGACTTTGGTATCTTTTCAATAGTACACTAAGAATTTTACCTAACTTGCTTAGTGGTTGCTTATGATTAAGCAAGTTCTAAAAGCCTTCAGAAGCCTATGTGTAACTTGTTTCAAAGTATTTTTTTTTCCAGCCAAACTCTTTCAGCCAATTTATTTACTCTATAAATTGGATCATGGCATGTAATCAAGAATGCTGTGTTGCCTTGGAAGCTACTGTTCATCATGAAGTTTCTTGCAGAATGAAAAAGGAAAATAAAACTAACTACTTGTATCTGAAACATTCGATAGGGATGTCAAAATATAAATAATAAAAATAGGTACTTACAAGAATGGGAAAAATGATCATTGTTACCGAAAAATCAAGTTATATTAAAAATGTGAATGATGCTTTAGTCGGAACTGTGGATCACTTACAATGAGGAAGCTTGATGGTTCGTTTTGCTGTTGGCATTAAAAATACGTTACAAAAAGAAAAGGCAATGACAAGTCATGCATTTCCCCTTTCATGGGAGAGGTTATTGGTGCAATCCCATCCTTAATGATCCTCTTTTTAGTGTGTCATAGATTTGAGATTTCTTAGTAATGAAAACTCCTCTCCCCCTTTTAATGGAGGCCATTGCGGGTCACAGAAAATCAGAAAATTTCCAGATTTGTTCATGTAGAACCAGGTCGTGTCTTCATCCCAGTAGACAGTTTTGCTCACTTCCAGCTTGGCTTCTGAGTGCTTAGAGATGCAGGAGCCCTTGTTCCTGAGAAAGTACCAAGGTCTCCTAGCCAAGAAGTTCAGTGGATGGTCATACATCTTCAAGTGGGTAATGGTGTGAGCCAAAGCAATTGGAACCTTATGAACTTAGGCCTGTCCCTGCACAGGCTGCTCTAGTGCCTTCTGCTTGAACCAGTCTGGCCTCCAGGCATCCCCACTGAAAATCAAGCTAGCTGCAGTGTCAGCCTTTCAGGAAGATAAATGCTGCTTTGGCCATTCTCTAGTTCCTGACGTTAGGAGGATGATAGGCTAAAACCACCCTTCTCAGATGGTGTCAAACTGACTAGCAGATCTAGTGGAAGTCTTAATCCCAAATGGCTTTGTAACATTAGATAGTGTACCTTTAGAAAGTTACTGTGCCCAGTTAGCTATTGCTTACAGAAACTTTTTCTGAATGCTGAAGTTTTTAAATACTATCCTTGAAGTGTGTATATGAAAGTACATTTATCCCAAGATTTTTTTATATGAATAGAAAACAAGATTATAAAGTTAAGCACCACTGAGTTATGAAATGCTTACTGTGGTTTTTGAATATTCTGGCACTTAACTTGCAATGATTTGGTAAGAGCTTATAAATGCCATAAAGATAAGACTGTTTTGTGATATCTTCAGTTGATCAGGTGCACAGCTGTCTTGTGAATCCTATTTTTATATAAATATAACATATATATGTATACACACACACACACACCACATACATGCAAAATACACCTGTTTATTATTCTCTCTCAATGTAGTGAAAGAGAATCTATTTACTTTTGAAAAATTTCTAGTGCATACATATGTTTCAGGGAACTGCGAATCTGCTTCTAGGTTGAAATTCTATTTAAGTTAACATTTACTGGATCAAGTTGATAAAGTTCTTGTGAATTCAAATATTCATTTCTTGTGTACACTGGAAGAAGAAAGTTTTTTTAACTATGACAACTAATGTGGATTATTGTATGGAACAATGGAAAATGGCTAAAAAAAAAAATCAAATGGGGCGTTGCATCCAGAGCAGAGACATAGGAAGTATGAATTTATGCAAGATATTCGAATGACTTACGGGTATTTATTGGGGCAGAGAGAACGTCTGTGTTTCTTTATGGCTTATCTAAAAATGTAGAATTTCTCTTCATGCTGAAAAACTTCAGAATGAGAGAGTGCTATTGCTTGTTTAAATGCATCTGACAGTTTCCATTATCAGAACTCTGAACTTTTTTTTTTTTTGTAGGCTGTTTCAATAAATGTTTTCAAGGTATCACCTTTAGTATTGGTTACTAAGACCCATTAGAATAGGTTTTTTAATTATTCTTTGTAGTAGGTGGTTTTTTTTTTTTTTTTTTTTTTTGGTTTTTTTTTAAATTTTGGGTACGTAAGTAATAGGTATAAAAATACTAAAAATAAAGCAAATCTGTTCTTTAAATGCAAAATTTTGATTATGGTTCTACTTCTAATAAACTATAGACCAAGATTTTTCCATGGCTGAAGAGTAGTAAGGAAGCTTAAAATGGAACATGCTGGTGCCATTTCTCAGGACTTGGAATATCCTGGCATGGCACTTGAGAGTTCCATAACCTCCATAAGCAGCAGCTTGTCCCTGCCCATTCCCCAAAAGCAGGCCCTAGGTGCTCTGGGGGGCTGTGGAGTAGTAGTGCCTGGCTGTTTCACAGACCTTGGTAATGCAGCAGAATCCTGTGAAGCCTCGGGAAGACTGCTCCGTCCGTTAGTCTTTCCCCTTCACATGTTCTCCCACCAAATTGCTCACAACTTCTATTGATCAATGTAGCGGAGAGCCTGTACTTACAATCTGTCATACAAGGGTCAACTTCATTATTTCAGCTCTGCAAAATAGTCAATCTGTAGTTTGACAGGAAGGTCTTGGTGTATAGCATACAGATGGGGGAATTTGGTTCTAGAGTGAAATAGGGTTTTCCCCCAGACTTCACTAAATCATGTAGTTCAGGTGAACTTTGCTTATTCCTTGGAGAACATAGAAATGTGACTACTGAAGTAATTACTGCATTTTAATGGGAGAGAAAAATGGCAGTCATTTCTTGGTGGTAAACTTACTAACTGCATATCATGAAAACTCAAACAGAAAATCTCCAATTGCCTATTGCAGTTACCCCTGGTTATACCATTCTGAACATGCCTGATCTCATCTAATCTTAAAAGCTTAGAAGGGTCTTTGGATGGGAGAGTGCTTGGGAATGCCTGGGCTGGGTGCTGTGGGCTTCCTGCAAGTAGCCACAAAGATTCAGGGACTGGAGCATTCTTCATAGGAGGAGAGACTGGGAACACTGGGGCTCTTCAGCCTGGAGAAGAGCAGGAGCAGACAGGATCTTATTGCTGTAAGTGTTGGAAGGGAGGAAGCCAAGGTGATGCTTGGTGGTGCCTAGTGAGGTGATAGGCACGAACTGAAATATGGGAATTTAGATTTTAAAAATAAGAAAACTTCTACTGTAAGGGTGATTTTACCCTGGAATAGCTTGTCTACAGTCTCCATCCTTCAGAACTTGACTCAGTCATCCATTCTGTGATTCCATGAATAACACCTGCGCATATGTGCATGTGTATATATATATATTAGTGTAAGATAACATATTAATTTTTTTAATTCTGATTTTAAAAAGTGCAGTAGGAAAAACATAATGGGAAAAGTATATTTCTTCAGCCCCTTTCTCCTCTCTGCATCTTTTCCCAAATCCAGCCTCCATAAATATTCCAGATTCCTGTATTATTTGGTTCCATGGGGGAGGGGGTTGATTGCACTCTTATTTTTCTTGTTTTCAATCCGGTGATTCCATGTGAAAGATGATGAATATATATATATATATATATATTTAACAGAGAGAGAAAGAGAAAAGTTTACCCAACAGCTCATACAGTGAACAAGGTTTCAGGTTATGTTAATTTAAAAACATGGATTTGATAGATCCATGTTTTGATAGGCTGAACAACAACCTGTCTTAATACGTTAGTTCTTTTTCTTTAACAATATCTAGAATGTTGTCGTTTAGTTCTGCATTTTGCACCTTTTAAATCACCCACTGAGATTTAAAGAGCTGATACAGCTCATGGCGATGTGGTACTTTTAAAAGTATCTGAATAGCCTAGACCTAGGGAGCCTAATAAGTCCTATGCTAAACACTTTACAATTACTGAATTAACTGTAATGTGGTATTGAGATTCATCTTTATTTCTGTAAATCAAACTAAACTTAACTCTTTATTTTTTTTTCTTCCTTTTAATTTGTATTTGTATATACCTTCCTGGATGCATTTGGTGCAAGTTGAATTCTTTTGTTGTTATTGCTGTTACGGTCAGACACTAAAAATGGTTATGATCCTTCCTTCCCTTTGTGGTCATTCTAATCTTGTGTTGTACATTTTACATGTTTAGGCAACTTTTATGACTTGTAAATTCACTTTCTCTAGTGTATTTTTCTGAAAATACTGTGTTCCTCTGTGTTTGCAATGTCTGGTTGGGTTGCTTCAGTGCCATTTGGGTTGCTTCAGTGGTAAAGTAATTACCCTGACCATTTGAAGTGAGCTCACTTCAGAGAGGTCTAAAGAGCCAAGCCGTAGAATTGTAACTCAGCTTACTTGTCAGCTCATTTTATGAAACTGGAAGAAATTAGACAATTGTTTCTTATGTTGGGGGATGACTCCTGCTATTTATAACTAAGACGGGGGAGGAGACACTGACAAACAAGATATTCTTGAACTGAGGAACTTGAAAAATCATATAAATCTGCCTTATTATTGACTGTCCTCATAAGAAGCTGTTGGCTTCTTGGCTGTTCAACACAAAATACAATGACAGAATCAATATATTATGCAGTGTGATAAGTTTTGCATTTTCATGCAGAAAATGTCTTGTAATATTGTATCTCAATAAAAATTGAAATAAATGATTGATTTTAGTCATAGTGAAGGAGAAGTTCAAGTCATTTTACAAGCTTTACACTTTTTATGGAAAGAATAATTGTTTTATTAAGCATACACTATTTCATAGCTATAGATGAATAAGATTGATGAGATCTAACAAAGATGACTTTCTATTGCTTTACTTGTCTTCATTATCATACAATATTCATGTATTTTTCCTGTGATGGATACAATTGTGTTGAATTGTAGTGGGCCAAAGATTTCTTTGCCTGCCTTGTTGATTGTATTTGCACATACAGCTAACAGTATTTTTGCAACAAGCAACTATAGTATATATTTTTTCTACTTAATTACTTGGTTCTTTATTTTCAGGTTGATATTGTATATGTGATTTATCTAAGTTGATGTTCATGTTGCAGTTCTTTATTACAATGTAACTTTCAGTAACTGCAAAAATAAGTTGGAGCAGCTCAAAGATATGTTGAATTTTAGTTTTATCTATCACTATTTCTCTCCTGATCCTTCAAAATGCAATTTCTATCAGATTTTGGTAATTAGAATGCAAGCTTCCATGTAGAGGAGTGCTATTGATAGAGATTTTCATTTAACATGATAGCTCAGTGATTTTGAAGTATAATCTGTTACGTACCATTTCCCACTCCTATACTCCTAGAAAAAGAAAATTACTTTGCACAGCGAAGTGTCTCACATTCCCCTTCCCTGGTTTCACTAGGACTTAGGAAATTATTGCCACTAAAACAGCAATTTTCAGCCTGTTTGGAGAGCTGGGAATGTGTGTGTATTACTTGAATGAGGAAAATGCCGTGTCCTCATATGGCATTTTAAGCAATTAATTAAAATACTCTGCAGAGTTTAGAATGGATGTTATGAGTACAGTTTTGTAAATATTCTTGATCTCAGTGTATTAGTAAGTTCCAATTACTACAAATAAAGTTATGAAGTTTGACATGTGCTTTTTGCCACGAATCTGAGAGGAAGCTATGTGATTGCAAGGAAAAGCAAATTTCTCTGCCAATGAAAAAAATAGTCAATTTTTATTTATTTATTTATTTATTTTTTAACTTTAACAGTATTGCTGACATCATTGAACACTATAGAAAAGAACAGATTGTTGAAGGATATTACCTTAAAGATCCTGTTTCAATGCAGGTAAGACTCTTTGAAGATATTGACTGAACTGTCATCAGATGTATTTACAATGTAGGAGCTAGATGACAGCAGAGATCAGTTACAATTCAACAGCTTTCATCCAGTCTCCATTTTTTTTTTTTTTCAGTTTGTGCGTACATCTTCACACACACATTCACTCATGAAGGGCCAGCTCGCAGTCAGTGGGAGACATGGTGAGCTCTGTCGGTGCCTTAGCATCTCATCCCTGACTGCACCATGCTCTGCCCTAATCCCATGCCATGTTAGGCCAGCCTTCCCCCCTCTTCATTCTTGTGTTTGTGGGCAGCATTGCCCTTGCCAAAGGAAACCTTTATGCTCAGAAAAGCTTCTGGGTTGATCAGCAGGGCTAGGATTGCCAGGCATGGTCTGGACTTGTTCTGGAACTTAGGTTGATCTTAAGAGACCACCAGCAATAAGGTAGCCACATCACCTGTCTCTTCCATGAGCTTTCAGCTTGTTCTAAATTACGTCTGTATCTTCTTCCCTCTCTATTCCCAAGATTTCCTGTTTGATGGTTAGAAGCTTGGTTTTGATTTCCAGCCTAAATATTCATTGTCAACTCATACTCTTAGTTACAATTGGAACGACAGCTTTTGGCTTCCCCTTAGCTGCATTAATATAAGAGCATTTGTATTCTCCCTGAGCTCACTAAGCTGAGCATACCAAGGTGTTGTGGTTTTGTTTTCCATTTTTCCTTTCATAATGTGGGTGTATTTGTGCTGCTGCCACTAATTCCAGTTCAAGTTCATGTTTCTTGAATGTGATGGATCAGAACAGCTGGTGTCCCATGTTATTAGTAATTCCATTTCTGTGGGAAATACTTGCCAGATGTATTCTGGAAAATCATCTGTGTTATTACCATAGCCACATTATACGAATAACTTAGTCATTCTGTGAATGACTCAGCCATTCAAGTTTCTCATCCCCAGCTTTGTACTGGTAAGTGTTAGCAGGTGCAATGTTTGTGCTGGTAGATTTAAGTCTTACTATTCAGCTCTTTCCTCTATTGCCAAATGGCCTGTGTTATCACTGCTTCCCAGTTGTCTGGTGCTCTGTGGTTGAGAGGAAAAGTGAATCCCAAGATTAATTGTTGAAAAGCTTCACTGGTACCGTCCTCGTGATCCCTTATTCCTCTTGCATCATGACAATCATAATCTTCATTTTGGCTTTTTGCATATCCACTTACAGTTTCTGTATTACTAATTTTACATGCCTTGATGTGTTGATTTGTTTTTGTGTGTGACTTAACTGCATCAAATTCTCTTTTAGTTACTTATATTCTTGACTTTTTCATTTGTTTAAAAAAAAAAAACAGTAGTTGGGATGCATTTTACCTTCCTTCCACATTCTGCCACATCTTGTGTTTCTGGAGAAAAAAAAAATAGGTCTTGGGTATTATCAGGGTCAGTGTAATGGGTTTACTGCTTCTCATTTACTTTTCTTTAATGTCAGTGCACCCGCTGCCCTCACTCTGTACATTACTGTATCTAATTTGAAATATACTTTAAAAACTGTCACTAGTTTTGGTGTGTTATATACTTTTTCTCTCATATTAGGTTATGAATAACATCCGTGTTGTATGGTGTGTGTTTTTTTTTTTTTTTTTTTTTTCCATATTGCTTCTAGTTTGGGTGCTGTAATTTCTGTTACCGCAGTGTTTTTCATCTTGTCTGTGTCATTGGGGAAAGGGAATATGGGAGGGAAGCAAAATAGAATATTTAGTATGGAGCCTGTGCATATATCACTCTTCATCTCAATACTCTTCTCCCTGCTTGACAGTCTTGCTTTTTCATGTTTTCTTATGGCTAAAGAACTTTTGCTGATCAGCATACTCGGTACAGTCAAACTTGGCTTGACTTTTGACTGTTCTTAGTTAATATTTATGTTTTCAAATCTTGGCTTTCTGTGTGAATTTGTCCGTTTTCTTTTTCCTGTTTCTGCATTCTCTTGTTATCTCTTGTTAGAATGCTCTTCATGTGGACGAATGAGTGCTCATGTGATCAGTGAGGGCTTGTGCAGCCGTGTTTGTGAACTGTTCAATTTTACTTGTGATGATCTTGTTACTCCAGAGTTAACTGTAGTTAGTGAGTCCCAAAAGCTTTGGTAGGAGACTGTTAGGAACTAGGTAAACTTCAAAGATTTGTATAAAACTTAGTAAAACAACTGTAAAACATTCTGCTTTTTTAATGATAAAAGACTCAGATACTGCTTTGTAAAGGTTGGTCTGTATTTAAAACTTTTTTTTCTTCTCATATCATGATTTGATCTAATCATTACACAAGAAATCATCTATATTACATTTGGTATTAAAAATTATATTGTTTTATTAAAACACGTGAGAGAACAGTAGTGGAGAGCAGTAGTATTCAATAAAATGATTTTGGTTGCAGCTTGGTTGTGTGCAATTGTTTCACAGCAATTTCTGACCTTAAAAGATGTTGATTTCTTCCTTGTTTACCAGCATCAAGAACAAGTGTTTAATGATACAGTGGATGGAAGAGAAATCTACAATACAATTCGTCGCAAAACAAAGGATGCATTTTATAAAAATATTGTCAAAAAAGGTTATCTTCTAAAGAAAAGTGAGTTCTGTTTAGTACTTTGAAATAGTCCTCCAAAGTTATGCAGTGGGCTTAATATAGTGTTGCTGTTAGAAAGGACAAAATTGAAGTTAAAGTTGAAAGGTTAGAGAAAGCTTAAAAATAAAAGGGGGGGTATATTAGTATATTAGTCGAAAGGCATAATACATAAAACCACACACAATGCAAAATTGCTGATTGTCAGTTCTTGAGAAAAAAATCTGCGAGCAGCCCAAAAACAAGTGACATTCAGACTCATTAAATTGAGTGTATTTTCAAGAAAGTCATATTTAATATGGAACTCATTCAATTTTAGCTGATAGATTTCGTTAAGAGAGCTAGAATGCGTCAGTGCATTCATTGGTGATCAAAGCTTGTTTAATTTTTTTATTCCAAGTTAGCCAAATAATTAATTTAAAATGTTGTTATGGACTGCCAGATACAGAGGCAAAACCTTCAAAAATGCACTAGGACTGTTAAGAGTCAATGTAACATAAAATAAACGGATTAAAAACTGACTGCTTGACAGATCTCCATGTATCCCTTAAGAATTATTATTGAGCAAGTTTTTGGATTTCTGAGAAAGCTAGTTCAAATGTCACTTGTTTTGGTTGCGTTGATTTTTAATCACCTTTAATGGAAGTAGGAAAAACTGTAATAAAGTCTTTGCAGGTGACAACTACCATAGCTAAGAGGATAGGTTACAGATAGTGGTCTGAATAGCAAGTAAAACTGAGAAAGAAGGGTAAGCAATTTTTTAAATATATCCAAGTGCAAAAGATACATTCAAAGGAAATAAAAGCTCTGAATAGATCAAGAGAAGAGTCTCTCCTGTTGGGAGTGCTAATCCCAAGATGGGGAGGGATGTGGCCGAGTAAGGAATCGGCTGAGAATGAACTTCAGGCCTTTAGCTCGAGACGATAAAAACATGTTTTAAACGTACAAACAGGAGCACTGAGCACGTGCGGAGGGATTCAATAAAATCACTGTGCCAGTTAGTAGAGCAAGTATTTTAACAGCATGTTAAAATTGTCTTTTCAAAACAGTACTAATGCATGTGTATTGAGGGTTATCGTGGATTTGTGATCATAAAAGTTTAAAATTAAGGCCAAATATTTTTCTAAGAGGTTATTGTGGTTTAAGTATGAATTAGTTACAGAAAGTTTCACATCTGTTTTAATTTGGAGGGCCTTATGGTTTAGTCAATAGATAAATCCATGTTTTACATATAATATGTCTTCCAGCAAAGCTTGAATTTAAATCCCCAGTAATTAAAATGCCACTTTTCACATTTTTGTCTGAAGGGCTGAATTCTTGGATATAGGTAGATTTGGGACATGATTCTGATCCAAGATTGCATTTAATGTATTCCCATTTCTATTCTTCAGTTGTACTGTTTTTAAGATATTTTGGTACAATTGGTTGTGTGCTGGTGAGCCGATAGGAGTTTAGGAATAGTTTTCACATGTCAAGAGTCCATTTTTACGGGGTGCCACAAATTGGATCAGTTTCCAAAAATGTACTGGTGTTGTATAGGCGCTTTTCCCATGGATGGGAACTGAACTGACCAGGAATCCTGTTGGAATCTGTGAAAATGTTATAAAACTATCTGAAGCTGTGAAAAGGGTCTACTTTTTAGCTACTTGTTGTGTAGAATGGAGAACATATACTAATGTTATCACTTGAGTATATTTAACTGTACACCATTCTTTTGTTTATAATTTGACAAAAACCTTGCTGCCACCTTTTTTTTCACTTAGACTCTGCGTTTTGTAAAAAAAAAAAAAAAAAAAATTATTGTAACTTATTTTACTCAAAGGAAAGAGGTGGAAAAACTTGTACTTTATATTAGAGGGAAATGATGCCCAGCTTATTTATTTTGAAAGTGAAAAACGAGCCACAAAACCCAAAGGATTAATAGACCTTAGTGTGTGTTCTGTATATGGAGTACACGACAGCTTGTTTGGCAGGTAGGATGGTGACTTTTAATTTTCAATGCTGTAACTGCATTTAAGGCTGTAGAAATTTCTATCGCATACATTTGATGATTAGTACGTGATCCTGTACATATCTCACTAGTTGAGAGAGCTGCAAAATAATTATTATGTTAATGTTAATTAACATAATATGTTAATACAGCTTCCTTGAGTCCTAAAAGAAGAAATTCAGAATGTATGATTAGTTGCTTGAGAACTAATGTTGGACACACTGTGCATCTTTGAAGCGTGCATGGGAACACTCTATGTTAGCAGCTCTTTTACTTACGAGACGATTTGCTTTGCCCTGACCTAAAGTCAGCAATACGTGCATATTCAGTACAGACTGTTCAAGAAGCTTAAGGATTCTAGAACATGCTAGTTATACTAATAGTTATACTAAAGTACAGCATAGTTTTTATTGCATAAAATGAAATTACATAATTTTTCAAACCAAAATGCACTTTTGAAACACCTGACAATTTTTCCTGTTTCTATGTATGATGATGTTACACTTTCTTACAGTCAAATAGCAGCTGTATAGGTTTGAACTTTGTTTTGTCAGAGATCAACAGGTGAAGATGTTTGTCGATATGTGTCTATATATATATATATATATATATATATATTTTAATCTTTTTCTCACAAAGAAATCCTGGCTGTGTTTACATTAGCAAGTATTACTATACAGTAGTAACAGATTTGTAAAGAAAACAGCTGGTGCTGAGAAACCAGCACTTAGGCTCCATGTGCCTTAGGGTTATACTTGGAACAAGATCTAGTCTGGTCATACACACTAAAGTTCTGTTAGCCTTCCTAAATATATCTGAAGAGCATTAATCTCCCCAAATTATTTGTACTCCAAGGCTTTTCCATGATGCAAACTGGAGCATGGTAAGTGCAAGTGGTTGGAGGTTTCGCTTCAGGAGCGTATTACTGGTCTGAACTAAAATGCTAATATAGGTATGTCCAGTGATCAAAGCATACTGAGCAACTGGCTTTTAAAATTATTGTCCTGCGCATAAAGCATTATTGTATATAGGCTTTGGCCTCGATCTTGCACAGCAGGGAGGGTTTTCTTTATCATTTAGTTTTAGCTGTATAGTAGTTATGTTTGATTAAAAATTACAGCATTGGAGTTTGATTTTTTTCTAAAAGTCTCCTGCTACCAGGAGAGCATATGTTGGATGTGACAGTGTACTGAGTCATCAAGTTGTTCCAGCAGTCCATGTTCTGAAATGCACCCATTGCATCAGAAATTAAGCTTTGTATTCGGTTTTCTTTAAAAGAAACAAAAGTTGTTGTGAGTACTTGTACACTGCTATTCAAATGATCATGTGTAAATTTAATGTACACTTCAAATTGCATATACGGGGATGCACAAATTCTCCTGTAGAACTGCTAAAAAATTACAAAAGTCACTGAAATGACATCAGAACAGTGCAGTGGCACATGTCATGCAAATGTTAGCGTGCTATATTTGAGAAGCAGATGTGCGGTATTCTAGTCATTATATATTAATATCCACTCCCATGAATGAAGGCTTCGTTTTTTTTTCTTACATGTGCAATGTCTTGTGTTTTAAAATTGGAGGGGAAAAAAAAAGTCTATTAGGTAGAATATCCTGTCCTGTGTTGAATAAGCCTCAGCTTTGAGGTCTATACAAAGCATTTCTGAACATAGTAATGTGAAGTGTAGCTTCATGCTAATATCCCTATGCCTGCTATAGCACACTGCTCATTAAACAGCACATCAGAGAGCTTTCCAGTTCTTCTGCTTGCAGAAGGGTTTGAAAGTTCAGTCCTTACTCTAAGTAGTTTGCTTGAGACTAGCTGTGGTTTAGGCTGTGTCTCCCCTAATGCAGAGGGTAATGTAAAGGATAAGGTTGAAACGGGTTTTCTAAACAACATTGGTCAGTTGACCTTTGAGAGCAGCGAGCAGAATGTTGCTGTGCAGACTGACCCTTAGCCAAAAATGGCTTTTGTGGTTTATAAGAGCAATAGTAGACTTGAGGGTAGGGCAAAAGCATGAGGCCAAAGTGTATCAAGCATCTTTCACAGTTAAAGGCTCACACTAAGCTCTTTTGTCCCCAGCTGTTTTGGAGGTGGTCCTGCTAGTTGGCAATGCCCATTAGCAGCCTATCTGGAGGAAAACTATGGACAAAGACCTCATATTAGGCAGCACGTTCATTTGCCTGAACTTTATGCATTCCACTTTATGCATTCCACTTTATGCATTCCACTTTATGCATTCCACTTTATGCATTCCACTTTATGCATTCCACTTTATGCATTCCACTTTATGCATTCCACTTTATGCATTCCACTTTATGCATTCCACTTTATGCATTCCACTTTATGCATTCCACTTTATGCATTCCACTTTATGCATTTGTAGGCAGACAGAATGGGGGTGCAGGATACACTTTTCAATGTTTCACTGTTAAAGTTATGTGTTTTTTTTTTGTTTGTTTATTTGAAGTATATGCAGTAAAATCTGAGTGCAGTGCAGAAATGCTGGAGAGAATGATCACAACACATTTTTAACCTTCTCAGAAGTGACCTAGGTTGTTTGGTTGTGTGTGTGTGGGGGGCGGGGGGTGGGGTTAGATTTTGGGTTTTTTTTTTTTTCATTTTGTGT